GAATAATAGAACGAAATTAATATATTATTCTACTAGAATTATAGATATAATTAAGCGCTAATAGTATACGCTTATATATAAGGACTAACCTATAAATAAATTACGATAAACCTCGACTAGGAAGATATAAAGAAAATCTAGGAAATAGAAGCTTCGACTATATAAAACTTATATACGATATAGGAGGATAAAAAAGAAGATATACTTTTTATCGATAAACGAGTAGACTCGACGTACCTATTCGATTATTTTAGCTACGCGGAAAGAAGCTACTAATAGTATTTTAAGCTATATTAATACCTATAGAATATAAGTCCTAATTAACCTCGGATTCCGATTAATAAAATAGTATATTAATCGATAAACGAGTACGACGAATATACTTATATAGTAGAGTTAAGACTATACGTATATTTAAAAAACGACGAAGGAATAACCTATTAAGGCTAGGTTACCTACGGTAATAGCCTTAGACTCTATATAAGTTAGACGGAGGAAAAGCGGAATATATAGTCCTTACGACTATTCTATAGAACCTTTCTATACGACTTATAATAGACTTCGGAGTAAACGAGAATTATATTTTATACTATATAGTATAAAGATTAAAAGACTATATAAAGGTAAAGACGAAACTATATCGGCTTATAATAATAGACGAATTATTAATAGAATTTAAGGACGAATAGATAAGAAAAGAACTATAATAAGTCGAACTATTAATAGAAATCTATTAAGAAAGAATAATCCTAAATATAATAGTAATAAAATATAACGCTATACTAGAAATAGAATAACTAGAAAAATATAACTTCTAGATAAACTAAAAAATAAAAGAACTCGAATTTCTAAATTATAGTTACGAAATAAAAATAGAAGACTAATTATCTTTAAAGGTTTCCTTTATAAAGGCGATATAGATACGATCGAGAAGTAAAATATTAGCTTAGACTAATATTAAAGAGCTACTTCTAAAATATATAAAATATAAAGAATTATTTATAGAAAAAGAAGGTAGAATAATACTTCTAGAATATTAGCCTTAAAACTATAAGATATCTATAAAAGAAAAAGAAGTACTTAACTATAAGGAATAGTTAAAGTTATTCTTAAAGAAAGAAGAAGACTTTCTAAAAGATTATATTAAGAAATTAGAAGTAAAAGGTTTAGTTAAAAGAAGTTAACTAAAGGTAGAAAAATATAGATTTATATTCTATAGTATATTCTTCGTAATAAAGAAGAATAAATTATTATAACTATATATCGACTATAGACTACTTAGCGATAAAACTATTAAGAACTATTATTTTATTCTTCGCTAGAATAAACTATAGAATCGCTTCTTAGGCGCCGTATAGTTTATCGCGTTAAATACTAAGAACGCCTATTACTTAATTAAAATAGTTAACGGAGAAGAATAGAAAATAGTATTTCGAATAAAATAGAAAGTTTACGAATTTTTAGTTATACCTTTTAAATTTACTAATATACTATTAATATTCTAAGAATTTATAAATAATACTTTAAAAGAATATTTAGATATATTCGTTATTATCTACCTCAACGATATTCTAATCTTCTCGAAAACTTATAAGAAATACGTAGAGTATATAAAGAAAATAATAGAAAAGCTAAAGAAAAATAGAATTCTATTTAAGCTATCTAAATATAAATTCTATAAGAATAGTATTAGATTTCTAGGCTATATTATATCTTCGGAAGAACTTATACCGAATTAAGAGAAAGTTCGAGCTATCGATAAATAGCTAGAACTAACGACTATTAGAAAAGTATAAGTATTCTATAGATTAATTAATTATTACTAGAAGTTTATTAAGGACTTCTTAAAAATCGCGGTACTAGTTATTAACTTAACTAAAAAGAAAGTAGCCTTTAATTTAAGGGGAAAATATAAGAATATCTTTAAAGAATTAAAGCGATAAATAACGTTCGCGCCGATCTTATATATTTTCGATCTAGAAAAGGAAGTAATTATAGAAATAGACGCCTTAGATAAAGTAATAGGAAGCTACCTTAAATAGAAAGACGAATAAGGAAAGCTTTATCTAGTAGTATATTATTTAAGGAAACTAAGTAGACCTAAGGCGAATTATAATATCTATAATAAGGAACTACTTATAATAGTAGAATACCTAAAAATATAGAGAGTATACCTAAAAGGAACTAAATATTTAGTATAAATATACTTCGACTATAAGAATCTAACGTATTAAACGATAACTAAAGAACTTAATAGAAGATAAGTTAAATAAGTTAAAATTCTAGCTTCTTACGATTTTAAAATTATATATATTCGAGGAATAGAGAATATTATAGTCGACGTCCTTAGTCGAAGAACGAACTATATAGAAGGACTAAAATCGAAGCTAGCGGCGCTCCTAGAGAAAAGAAGAAATTACTTAATATATAAAAGAATAGAAATAAGAATACTTATAATACTAGAAATAGAACTAACGATAGAGTAAAAATAGAAAATTATATAAATAAGGTATAATAATAAAAGCGTAGAATACCTAGGTATTAATAAAACGATCGAATTAGTAATACGAGATTTTATCTAGATAGAATTAAGAAAGAACGTTAAAGAATATATTAAGAATTACGATATATACTATAAAGTTAAATATTTAAGATATAAACTATATAGCTTATTATAATTAGCGGAAAATATAGATAAAGTATAGTTAAGAATAGTAATAGACTTTATAGTTAAGCTACTACTATTAAAGAAACCTATAACGAATATAACTTATAATAGTATACTTATAATAAACGATATACTAATAAAATATATTTACCTACTACTATATAAAGAAGTATCGATAGCGGAAGAATTAGTATATATAGTTATAAGGACGGTATTCGTATAATATAGAATACTAGAGGTTATTATTATAGATAGAGATAAACTATTTAATTTATAGTTCTAGTAATCGTTAATCGACTTATTAAGAATAAAATATAAGATATCTATATTATATTATCTATAAACGAACGAATAGACGGAGAGAACGAACTAGATAATAGAGTAATACTTACGGTATTACGTAGATTACTAGTAAAAGAATTAGATTAAGCTATTACTAATAGCTTAATTCGCTTTTAATAATAATATATCGATAGTCGGAATATCGTCGTTCTTTACGAATTATAAAAGATACCTAAACTTTAAAAAATAACTATTAGGTAATAGATTTAAGGCGGAAAAGATAATAATAAAAGTTAAAGATCTATATAAATTATACTTTCTACTAAAAATAATTACGAAAACGGTAAATAGAAAAAGATCTAAGGAACTAGACTTCTAGGAGAAAGAAATAGTTTATATTAATACGAAAAATATAAAAATATAGAGACTAAGTAAAAAACTAGATTATATAAAAATTAAACTATACCGAATTAAGAAAATACTAGGACTAGTCTTTTATAAGCTATAACTACTAGGAGGACTAAATATATATCTAGTATTCTATAAATCGCTATTAGAGAAAGCGGTAGATAAAGCTAGACTAGGACTAGTATATATCGATAAGGAAACCTAAAAATTCTATTATAATATAGAAACTATACTTTAATATAGGTAGAAAGGCCGTTAAGTAAAATATCTAGTTAAATAGTTAGAATATTCGAAATAGAAGAATACCTAGGAACTAGAAATAAACCTTAATTCGAAACTTATTATTTAGTATTATTAGCGGCGTAATCTAGCTAAAAGAATTCTTCTATTAGAAAGTTATTAGTTATTATAGTAAAGTTAAACTCGCCGAAACCGTCGTCTACTAATTTTCCGAGAAGTCGTACTTTTCGATTAACTATTTTATTCTATTTCTTAGTAATCTTCTCGAGGCGAGCTTTTATCTTAAATTACTCGGTTTAAACGACGAGAATATAGCGAGCTAGGTCGGTTAACTTCTAGTATAGCTTCTCGTTCTTCTCGCGTAGTTTATATTTTTTATTTTCTAAATAATTAAATTCGATATTTAAAAAAGTATTACTATATATAATATTCTTTTATATATAGATAAAATAACGAGAATAATTCTCGCGAATAATATATACCTTATATACCTTAATATACTAAGGATAAGAAGCTATAGCTTCGAGACTAAAATCGAAAAGTTTAATTTTAGTAGTAAGATATTAAAGTTACTTAGACTTAGAGAGAGAGGCCTTAAGAGATATAATTAGCTATAGAAAGGAAAGAAAAAGGACGAACTACCTCGGGCGAATAATACTTACTTTATATATATTAAGGATAACGAATAGAAAAAGGAAGAAATAGTATTACGAATTAGGTTACTAGAAGAGTCGCTAAGAATAAGCTACTTATACTCGGAGGAAATAGAGAAGTTAGTCGATAGAGAACGAGGCTATATTATATAACTAGAAAGCGGACTATAGAGGACTATAAACTACGAGTATAGTCTAGGTAAATCTATAGTCTAGGCTAGTATTATATATATACGCTCCTTTACCTAGATAGATAAGTTCGTAGTTAACTTCGTTAGTAATTCTATATCTATATTTAGAATATAGTCCGACGAATAAGTATTTCCTTTATTATCTTAGTCGATACTTCGATACCTACTCTATTAAGGAACTCTACCTTAGTTAGAACTACTTATAGCTCGGATTATAATACTACCCTAGAAGAGCTTATAAATATTATATCGGACCTTAAGGAAACTATCGTAAGTTAGAATAATACCCTTCGCGATATATAGAACGAGTTAAAATAGGTCTAAAGCTAAAATATTGAACTCTAGGGTATAGTCTACGCTCTTAACTCTAAACTCGAACGGGCTACTAACTCCCTTACTCCACTAAGCTCCTAGGCGTTAGTTGTAAACGAAGGCAGCGCAATTTAAGCCTCCATAGGACCTACAGCTCCGACTAACTACTCCTAACCGACGAAAGAACTTTAATGCCTACGCATTAGCACCAAGGCCAACCGAACCGGGGCCGAAGTAAATAGAGAAAGCCTCACTAGAAACCTATCCATCGGAAATACCATTAGCCTCATTAGACAAGCCCTTCTCAAGACGGACAAGACGAAAGATGTCGAAGTAGTAGGAGTAAACACAACTCGCACCGGATATATGGTGCGCTGCAAGGATGAACGATCAGCAGCGACGGCAAAAACACACACAGGATGGCTGTAGGAACTCGGCAACAATACCAAGCTGGTCAACCCACGATACCCAGTAGTTGTACATCGGTTCCCTACCGACGGCTTTGTGCTCCCAGATAACGAACACGAGTTCATTCGCCAACTAATGGAGGAAAGCCACGGGGTGATTGAAGCTCGACCCTGAACAAAGGAGGTAACCCTGTTTGAGAATGCAACGAGCCTACACTCGACAGTTCCTGTGCCGATGAAAGAGTAGTACCACTCAAGAGGAGTAGTCTTGAGGATGGAAGTGTATAGGGTCGTGGATGGACCTCAGTAGCGGCGGGTGGGATGCAGCCGAAGGACCAAGAGCAGGAAGTACCATGAACCGGGAATTCCACGTGCAGCCATGTAGAAGCAGCTAGTTCCCCATTGGGCTTAGCCCGCATGGGAGTATGAAAATCAATCAATCTGTGATATCGACGATATCGAAGTGAAATGGCAAAAAGGAGTAGAAAAGTAGAAAGGGGTGAAAAAGGCCGTTCTAACTTCATTTAGAGATATTAAGGGATAGCTTTGGGGTTCATAGAAACTAAATCCTCTAGATGCTGGGCCTTGGAATATTTAGCCTATCCGGCCGTCTTTATCCTCCGTCATCCTGGTTAGGCTGAGTTATTCCTTGTGCTACTTGGTCAAGCTTTTGGGTACTCTACTTAACCAACAAGAATAGTGTATACACTCAAAAGAAGCACTCTAATGATAGAGGAGGGGTGGAGGAACCGGAGAAAGCGTGCTGAATGCCGGAGTGACCAGAGGCATCCAGCGAAGTAATTATTGGGGAAGGACCGAGCCGAATAAGAACGCTTGGGGAGTAATCCTTACATTCTCTTTTTTCACATGCTGCTGACGTTTCTGATCACTGCAGATTCGTCTAGCACTTGAAGGATTTAAATACCTTGCCATTCCGCCAGGCAATACGATGGTCATTCTCATTAATATACATGGTTTGAAGATGTGGAAACACGATACGCAAGGTGGATCAAAACGCCGTCTCAGTGAGCGACATCCCAGCTCAGTCTGCCTTGCGGCTCCAAATACCACGATCTCTTACTTTAGATCACCGGGGGCTGTGTTACTTAGAAGCTAAATCACAAACTTTGGGCAACTGCTTTCTTGATATCTTACTTTGACATCTCTGTGCAGGTAGAGTACACAAGGATAGCGGTATCAGCCACTACTCCTTGTAGGAAATGTGGTAGACCGTGGCCGAAGTTTCTTTAGCTCTAGAGTGATGGCGGTACTCTTCGCGCTGCACTGTAGCACGAAGTGAAGTGCGCAAGGTTCCAGACGAAAATTGCATAGTTGGTTGAGATTCTTTTCGTTATTCTATGGCTTGGATCTAAGCGGCAGCTCTCGGTTGAACGTGGAATGTAGGAGAGAAAACCCTCGGATCAATCAGTCCACAAACTTGTCGATTTTGCAACCAAATTTTCATTTCACAGGCCAGTCGATCTTCTGCAGGAATTCCTCGGTGTCCTCCAACATCTCTTGTGGTCTCTCGAATGCCGCAAAATGGCCTCCCTTATCCATAGTCAGTATCAGTCCATCAAGCCTCCGTACCAAAGTCCGCCAAGCTGCGTGGAATAGGGGTAACGTACGACTTCATGCTTTTTGAACAGCACAAGATTAAGCCCTTGTGCCTCAACCCACGCCCTTGGCATCGGTGCCACTTCTTTGGGGAACCACGAGTATGCTACTGGCTTACTGTTGAGGTACTTTGGATCTCCGTGGGGGAACTGGCCACCAGGAACGGCGAACTACAACAAAAGGGTATTAGCATTCCTTCCGTAGCTGGAGCAAGAGGAAGACCCGGACAAGAAGGTACAAAGACCCACCTCACGGTAGCAGTAGATAGACCGCGGTAACGTTTTGGTGAACCAATACAAAGTAACCGAGTCAAGAATATCTTTCAGCGGAGGCGTTTCATCGCTCCATTCGATGAACTTCTCCCCGACCCTATCTTGTTTCAGCCAATCTCCCGTCGTTCTCTGAATGTGGGATTGGGACTGCCGGCTTACCAGGCAAGTTGTGCAAGCGGACTCGACGACAGAACGAACCCGATGGTCGCGGGCCTGGTGGCGTGCAAGAGGCCATATGCTCTCCCGGTTGATCTGAATACCAAGCCGCGGGATTCCCAGGCGCGTTTCTCATCTGGGGGGAGTCCACTGTCGGCCTCAATCTTGGGGGTTACCATAGCGGCGATGAAGTTGTCTGGTGGTTCAGTTCGTTCAGTTACAAGAAAGAGCATCTTGAGGAGGTCCTGGGATATCAGGTGGATAACTTACAGTGGACAGCTAGTTGAAGGGGGGGACCTGTTAGATGGTGGCTGCAAGTTATGAACTTTGAGCCAGCCTTACCTTTACATTCGTCATACGTTCCTGCAATGACTTTGGCGGCGAGCGAACCAATGTCTCCGCCCTGGCAGATATAACCACTGCCAAAGCCTAAACCGACCATCAGTTTATTCATGATACGCGCGATGTCTGCTAAGGTGAAGTTCTCGTCCAGCGGAGGCCCAGAGCTAAGCGTCCAACCGGGTAGAGAGACCGCGATGACATGATACGGGAGATCTTCTGGAGTGTACTTCTTGCGGTACAGATCGAAAAGCTTGAGATGCTCAAGGTGACTACCTGGCCAGCCATGCATGTAGAGTATCGGGACGGCATTTTCCTTTCTAGAGAACAGTGCAACGAAATGGATGCGAAATATCTCTCCGTCATCGTCTGGAACTTGAGCGATGAAATTGGGGAATGAGTTGTTGTACTTCTCAGTGGCGCGCCTACGTCGATTTAGTTTGAATGCCCAATGCATGGGCCGAAGAAGTCCGGACTGCTTGTCTCTTTGTCTATTTGGTGCAGGCTGAGAACATACCAGTCGTACTTAGTTAACCAATAATTCTTCGCGTTAGTCATCCATTCATGGCTGACGCCGAAATTCCCGTCGTCAGTATGGAGATTCTCGTAGGTCTTTGGAGCCAAGTTGGACAATCTAAGTAGATCCTTGAAGTCATTCAGGGCTTGCTCGGGGATTGATAATGTGAACATTTCGACCTTCAGCTTAGACGCTGAAGGTATTGTGTCGTAGCCGGACATTACACCGAGAGTGATTTGGCTAATTCAAAACGGAAAGCAAAGGAGTCCAGAGAGCGAGATAGTGAAGAGGAAAGAATGTTAAGGAGGGTCTTGGTTGTAGAGATATCGTAATCCAGAAACCATTCTCTGCCGGGCAGTACACGCCTTGAACTCAAATTGCAAGCAATCAGCATTTAGAGAAGCGATATTTCATCTATAATACGCTTTGCTCGTCGGGGAAGCATCTCCAACTCTCTGAGTTGAACATGGAGAGGAGACCCGCGGAAGAGGAAGTAAAGAGGCTTCGCATAGGTTCGATGGTCATCTCTTGTCAGTGTTTTAGAGTTTACTTCTACTGGATAGGACAGTGACGTGGCCTTTACGAAGCCGGCTAAAGTCGTACATTTTTGGTGCCAAGATGGCGCGTGAAGAACTTCTTCGGCCGTGAAGAGTAGCCAAACCAAAATCCATTTATTTTGGGGCTCTATACACTAGGCGATTAGAAACACCGGCTGTGTATAAGCGAGAGTTTCATTTTTTACCACGTACTGACTGTTCTGTAATTGCACGTTTGTTACCTCTACCCCGGTAGGGCAGTCTGCTATGCAGGTACAGACAACGGCAAGGTCATTGTGGCCCTGATTCTACGCAAGGCCACTGCGTTACAACCCCTACATCTCTGCCAAGAACCGATATGGTGATACATATAATGCTACAGCAAAATTTCAGTAGGACTATAAATTTCATGGTTATCTTTAACAGGGCGAGGTTTATAACCTCTATAATGGGTTCTAGAACGCACGTCGGAAAATTGATAACCTCTGCCTCCCGAAGTGACTGAAAGGACAAGACAAAGTTGGCTAAGGAGAATTCCGACAGGCGGAGATGCCGAGGATATTACCTCAACCAGGCTAACCGGCATCATTGCCGGCTGGAACTCCCCTGCGGTACTATTGTAGAGCAGGGAATGCGGTGAGAAACATAGCTCTAGTCTGTTCTCCCGCTTAAGAAGAAATAATTTATTCACAAACCTGGCAATTCTACCTAATCAAGCAGCCAGCATCGTTGTCCACCCAACGTACAATATCGAGCATCGACAGTCATCTAGGTAGAGGAATCTCAACATGGGCTCAGTCTCACTCCCAGCGACTATGCGAGGAGCACAATGGGACCCGAAACAAAGTCGAGTCGTGGTCAAAGCAATACCTGTCCCAACACCAAAACCAAACCAGGTCCTCGTCAAGATAGCCAGTGCTTCCTTGTGTCGCAGTGACATCTTGGCAGTTGAGGTACCTGGCCGTCAAGGTTCCTTCATCCTGGGTCATGAGAGAGCCGGATTCGTCCAGTCAATACGATCGGCAGTGCCCAGGGGCAGAATTGACTTTAAAGATGGTGATCCTGTAGGATTTTTGTACATCAATGACTGCTGTTTCGAAACTTTCCGTCTACAGCACTCGGACTTGTGATGTTGACGTCCCGGAATGCCGAATGCTAGAAGTATGCTATCCAACAGTGGATCGACTTACAGGGATTACCAGTGGCTGAAGCTTGATCAAATAGTGCATATTAATGCACATGCCGTAGCCTCTCTACTCCACTCACATCCTCTCGCCCTTCCTCAAGCAGGAGCATATATAGCTCGAGGCTACTATACGTTGAAAGATTATCCGAAAGAGTATCAACGACAACGAAAGCGCTTGATGAGATTTCGGCCATCCCAGGCACGGTCTCGGGACAGGGACGTCTATGCGACTTTTGAGGCATCGGCTGAAGTGCTCCAGTCAACCAACACCGAATCGGCCAGTGATTCTCTACAAGTATTAAGTGTCTTGGCTTCGCTGGGGTCCAGTTGGCTGCCACTCCAGCTATTCGAAGCTGGATGGAACGGAGCTCAAACCGTATCATCGGACCTATGACGATGATAGAGACTTAAGTCGCCTCACCCCGTGGCATGTTCATCGTTTGCTCCCGCCAATTTCAGCCGATAGTGAGGGTTGGGACTCATTTCGACTTATCGGGGCTATTAATCTTCTCTAGGGCTTCTCTCTCATCTCAACCGATACTTCTGACGGTAGGGGGATGAGTATCTCTATGCACCCGCTAATCCATGTTTGGGCGAACGACCGACTCGATGCGACTATGCAGCACGAATCGTGGGTTCGAGCGGGATGTTTGGTGGCAATTTCTCTCCAGGACAGTCACTTATGGTAGCAACACCAATGGCAACTTCAACCTCATGTGCATGCGTTGGTGTCTTGGGAAACCGACAGAATGTTTATGTCCGAGCCTTCTGTCCCGATTGTTCGTATTTTGATGACAGGCGGTGCCACTGTTGGAGCGGGTGGTCACGATCCAAAAGCAGACACTGGCGGAGGATCATCCAGATCGACTGGCGTCGCAGCATGAATTGGCGAGTGCATATCAGGATAATGGACAAGTCAAGGAGGCGGTGTCAATGTTACAGCAGGTGGTCACGATCCGAAAGCAGACATTGGCGGAGGATCATCCATCTCGATTGTATCGCAGCAAGTATTGGTGAGTGCGTATCAAGCCAATGGACAGAACAAGGAGACGGTGTCGCTACTGAAAGAGGTGCTCGAGATCAGGGAGCAGACGCTAGTGGAGGATCATCCGGGTCGACGGGCGTCGCAGCAGGCACCGGCTATAGCATATCGAGCCAATGGACAGATCACGGAGGCGGTGTCACTCCTGAAAGAGGCGCTAAAGATCAAGGAACAGACACTGGCGGCAGATCATCCGGATCGACTGGCATCACAGTAAGTTTTGGCCACGATGTTCTGGCACCTGAGACAGCATGCGACCGCGCTCTATTTTATTAATAATGTTGTCGAGGAACTGTGGAAGGTACTTGACGACGATCATCCCGATCGAAAGACGTCTGAGGCATGGCTTCATTACATTCAGGATTCCATGTCCCCTCGGCCATAGACCAAGCGCCCAGCGATAGTGAGGGTTCACTCAAAGCTATATGCGATTGTAGATAACATTCGTCAAACGTCATTTATAGGAACCACCGAAATCTTTTCCTTCATAAGGTAGCTCCCAATACAATAGGCGCAATCGGCAATATATAAACATACTGAAGATCTCTTGGTCCCCAGCTTCGATCCCACTCTTCGTACCACAATGTTTATTCGAAACACCACAAATAACTTTCGCCTGCAGCTGGTCTAATCGCAGTGAGCCCAATATTTGTAACTGTGTTGTGTAGACAATCTAGATATTCTTCTTAATGGCGCCAAACCTCCTACATGGTAATAAGCTCTTTTTTCTGTTCTTGAATACTCCATCATAATAAAATGAAGCAAAAGGGAGATGAGCTCCGCCTGATTTTACCAACGAGTTCACGGTTTTGTTGAGTCATTATTCTGTAGTCTGTGCACCGCCCTAGTGCCAACCACTCTGTCATGCAGTAATGTTATTGGATTGGAGGGTATTTTGGATTGGACTGGCGTGGATCCTATTTGGATGGAGTGGATCCATTGCCTCAGATATTTGGATTAGATTGGATCGAGTCGCTGTAAGTCTGGGCACTATGTAATGTGCCAACCGTGTAGTGTACCACTTATCATGAGTACTAACTACTCAATATTATCATACATTGTCTACTCTATAGACTCATTAATATTAAATTAATGTATAAAAGGTGTTAGGACGTTATCTAACTACCTATTCCGCGTAGTATTTCTAGTATTCGGTCGTATAGAAGGCCTCGTCGTCGCCTCTAAAGCCTCTATACCCTACCTAGCCTACCTAATTATCTCGATACTCGTAAAGACCTTATTATAGTCGATTACGACTCGCTATTACCTCGTAGTAGTTAGCTTATTTAGTTATATACGCTAAATAGTAAGTTCCTACGATTTTAGGGTAATATTCTACTATAGTCGATTAAATACCTTACTCGTTTTTTAAAGTAATCGACGTATAGGACGAGAAAGTGTCTCCTAGGCTAAAATCGAGTCTATTTCTCGTCGTACTTACTATCGAGTAAGTAGCGTATAAATATTATACGATACGTATTAAGCTTACTTACGTAACGGCGGCGTAGTCGGTAGTATTTACTCGTTTTAAAGGTTTTATAGGACTTAATAAGATCGAATAACTTTACGAGGGTCCTAAGGATAAATACTAGCTATTTTCTATTCCGCGCGTATACGAAACGATAAAAGACCCTTATTACTTACTTTTTTATAGGTTTTAAGAAACTTACTCTTCTTTATAGCCGCGGCGTCGTCGTACCTAGCTAGGTTAGCGATTTCGTCTCGATAGCGATATTTAAGGAGCGAAAAGTAATTAAGATTAAGTAGCTATAGGATATAACTTAAATAAGGTATTAAATAGACTAGAGTAATACGATTTATATAATATTCCTATATAAACTCGTACGTCGTATAACTTTTGTGTCTATCGAGTAAAAGGAATCGATAGTCGTCCGTTACCGTTTATAGAATGAATATTTAACGTAGCTAGGCTAAACCGATCTTATTCGAGGTCTATCTATTAGGTAAAACCGTATAGGAATAGTTTAGAGTATTAGGGTCGGTAAACTAGGTCGTTTAAAGCGCTTTTCCTTTAAATATAACGAGATATTATAGCCGACGGCTAATTACTAAGATTATCTCGATAATAGAGACCTATTCACGGTTTTCTAGTATTACTTTATATAATTAAGTAGTATTAACTCTACTAATTACTCGTTAATTAGTATAGACACCTAGAGCGATGCCTATCTCGTCTATATTATAGATATTCTCCTAGGAAACTTAATATCGCTCTCGTACGATATTAAAATACTTAATATCGCTCTCGTACGATATTAAAATACTTAAACTAGCGATTTAGGGACTTAGGAGTAGTACTCTAGAGACGTAATCTATAAATCTTTTTACCTACTTTAGAGCGAATCTCTAGATAACGTTATATAAATCGTAATATCTAGTTTTAGCCGATACTTAAGGGCCCCGTAGAATTACCTTAAATAATTATAACGAGATCTCGTATTTTAGTAAAGCTGGGAGGGTATCCTTACGCCGTAAGGTTAAGTATCTATCGTATAAGTATTTACTCTTATTAATTTAATAGTAGTTACTATAGTTTACGAGTAATTACTCGTAAAGTACTACCCTATAGTCGACGGCCTAGTATTATACGATTAACGTTATTTACTACGGCAGTAGAACGAATAGTTAGATATCGACGGGTTTAATAGTCTAGAATAGCCTACTAGATTCTAGTCTCTTAATTTAATACTATTTTAGCTGTAGAAAGAGTATTGTGTACGAGTAGTTGTATGTCGAAGAGGAGGAGTAGTTAGAAAACGCGACGCGGGACGCGTGGTACACTATACGGTTAGCACATTATATAGTGCCTAGACTTATACGGTCGAATCTAGGTATCGCTAGTTTAGTCTTAGCGTCGCTCGCTAAGATATTCATTAATATTACGTAATATCGTTCGGCTGTATAACTATACGGTCGAATCTAGACGTCGCTAGTTCTTACTAAGATATCCTACGGGTTTAACCCGTAATAGATAGGTCGTAGGCCGATGTTATAAGTAAAGGCCTTATATTTTTCGATATTTAGTAATTTAGTAAGTCCGTCGGCTAGTTAACCTTTAGTCGGTATAAAGGTTAACTTAGTATTTCTATTTACTACGTTTTCGCGTACGTAGTAATATTATATATCGACATACTTAGTACGACTATAATATACCGGATTTTTAGCTAGTTCGATAGCTAAGTTTAAATCCGTATATATAATATCCGTATTTAGGTCTTTAAAAAGACCGATTTCTCGTAAAATAGCCTTTATATAGGCCTACTCTTTTATAGCTTCTTTTAAAGCTATATATTCTACTTTATAGGAACTTAAAGCGACTATTCGCTATAGGCGAGAGTTCTAGGATATAGGGCTATTTATAAATAGGAATAGGTAGCCGGTTATCGAGCGTCTAGTAGATATATCGCCTTCCTAATCGGCATCGGCGTATCCTACTAAAGTAGGTTTTAAGTTATATAAAAGTCCTAGATCCGGAGCTCCTTTTAAGTAGCTTAAAAGCTTATTTAATAGTTTTTCGTATAAGGGCCTAGATTAGATATAAATCTCGCGAGTAGATTAATATAGTAGGTTAAATCTACTCTTATTTTATCTCCTAAATATATAAGCGAACCGATTTTTTATTAATAAAGGGATATAGCTTCTTTTATAGCTATTTCTTAAGAAGGTTCGATTTTTATATATATCGGAATAGGTACTATTTATATTAGTTTTAAGTCCTTAGTAAATTTAGCTAGGACCTTTTCTATATAATACTTTTAGTGTATAAATATAGACTTATTAGGTCTATTCCGGATAAATTCGATACCTAAAAAGGTAGATATTTCTCCTAGGTCTCGAATATCGACCTTTTTAGAGAGTTTTTCGTATAGGTTATTAATTATAGCTAACTTTAGTATAATAGCTATAATATCGTTAACGTAGGCGATTATAATAATTAATAAATCGTTCTTTATATAGATTAGTTCGTCGAATTTAATAGGATATAGCTTATATTTACCTAGAAGACTTTTAAGGTAATATTACCATTCTCTTACTAATTGTTTTAGTCCGTATAAAGCTTTATTAAGCTTATAGATATAATTCGGGTATTTTTAGTTAATAAAGCTAGTTAGCTACTCTATATAGACTTTTTCGGTTAATTTAGTATTAGGATAGGCGAGTTTAATATCCTATTACTTAATTTCCTAGTCTAAATAGGCTACTAAAGCGATTATAAGTCGCTAAGTAGTTAATTTTATTATATTTATAAAAGTTTTATTAAAATCGATGCCGTATCGTTATTAGAAATCTTTTACAACCTATCTAGTCTTATAAATAGGTATAGGATTACTAGAAGTAGAAGGTTTTATTTTAAGGATCTACCGGCCCTTTATAACCTTTATTTCTAGCGTTCTAGGTACTAAATCCTAGACTTTAAGGTCTTAAAGGCTTTTAACCTCTTTTTTAAGAGCTTCTTACTATTTTAGAGCCTCTTTAGTCTCTAGGACTTTAGGATATAAGGGCTCTATAGTACTAAATAGTACTAGGCCGTCTTCCTTTACGCTTTCCTAGAGTTACCGATAAAATTTATTATACTATATAGTATCTTAATCTTAGGCTAGTTAGCCTAATATCTTAGGGTCTTCTAGCGAAGTAGGAATATTAACTAGTTAATCTAGATTAGACTCCTAAATAGCTAGTAATTCCTTTTCGTCCTCGCTAAGTATAGAGTTATCGGCTAGTTAGCCTATAATAAGCTTACTTTATAGGCTTTTCTCGTCTTTTAAGAATACTCCTTTAAATATATAGATATTTCTTACCTATATAGGGTTTCTTTTACTATATACTATTAATTTATACTAGTTTACCTCTTTATTATAACCGATTAATAGATACTTTATATAAGGATTCTAATAGGAGCTTATTTAACTACTATAGGGCCTATCTAATAAGGACGTTAAGCTAAAGGAAAGAGAAAAAGAAGTCCTACCGCTATCTATAGGGAAATATAATCTTCTAAGGTAGGTCGCCCGATATTCTAAGTAACTATTAGTATTACGTAATATCGTTCGGCTATATAACTATACGGTCGAATCTAGGTATCGCTAGTTTAGTCTTAGCGTCGCTTACTAAGATATCTATTAATATTACGTAATATCGTTCGGCTATATAACTATACG